ATTGTATTAATTAATGATTGAAGTAATCTGTGACAATGTTTTGTATGATTCAGTAATCACAATTAAGATTTAGTACATGATCCTATGTATTTTATATTGTTATGTTTAAAGTAAATGACATATTATATTCATTTAACATTAATTATGTTACAGAACGGATAATGTTAACTAAGAAGATTAACATGAGATTTTGAGGCTAAAGGCGGTCATATTCACGTAAGGTTATTTAATATACTGTATTTAATCGATTATTAAGATGAGACAGTTATTGTACTGTATTGGTATTATACATTGTCAGTTTTCTCATTATTGAACAGTTTTAATAATACATTTTGTAATTATACTGTGAAGGGTTTAAATGATCAGTTGTTTACTTGCAGTATTGCAATAATGTATTTACATGAGTGTAACTTCATGATTTTTATGATACTATCGATGATTCATTTTCTACTTGTTTACTTATTTTATTTATCTATTTTTTATTTTTTGTATTAATTATTCGTATTTGTACTTTGTATTTAGTCACCGAACAATAGATCGGACCGAACAATAGATCGGACAACCGATTTGGTAGTCAAACAGACACAGTTGAAACAAATAAAAGTTGAGATTGCTTAACTGATGGTCGCATTGTTACCTTGTTCGAGTTTGTGTGTATGTCCAAAGACACCCCAGACTGGCTCCGAGCCCAAGAGCAGTTACAGTGAGTGAATACGCAGTAAGTAAATTGTACCAGTGAGCAGGGTTATTCGCCAGGAAATCGTGAATAGAAGTACAGTTTATCATGGCTACCCAGCTGATAAGGCAGAGGAGAAACTGTAAAGGCACAATGACGCGAGCAGTGAACCTGTTGAAGGCAACGCTCGATGAAAAGGAGGTAAGCGTCGAGAAGACCTGTTTGCAAAGGTTACAACTTCATTCGAAGCGGTAGAAGTCGCGCATCGCAACTTGACAGACGAAATCGAAGATGAGACATTCGCAAAAGAGGAGCAATGGATGGAGGAAGTCCAGGCAGCTTTCCTTGAGGTTAGACTGAGGACTGAAACCTTCATTTAAAAAAAGGCTGATCCAGCCGAAAAGGCAACTACCTCAGGTAACGGCGCTAATATTAGTGTCAGTAATGATAGTGCTAGCAATGTAAGCATATCGTCAAATAGATTAAGTGGTTTTTAACGAAATTAAGCTAGCTTAAGAGCTGCCCAAGGCAGAATACGCCAAGTTTAGTGGCGATCCTATTGAGTATTTTTCCTTTATTACTAACTTTGAAATTAACATTGAATATAAACTAACTTGCAATGCCACTCGCCTACAACATCTTAAGTCAATGTGTAAATGTAAAGCGCGTAGCTATATTGATTGTTCCGATTTGCTCGATGATGTAGGCTACATTGAAGCCAATCGCATATTGAAGACTCAGTTCGGGCAGCCTCACATGATTTTGAACGCTCACATGCGTGAGCTTGCAGACAGGAGACCCGTCAGAGCTAATGGCTCCGATGCATTATGGGATCTAATTGCTTCCATGAAGAAGTGCTATGTCACTCTAACTAAACTAGGCTATACGAATGATCTAAACAGTACTACTAACTTGTTAAAAGTCCAGGATCTTTTACCTAACCATTTACAGACTGCATGGGTCATGAAAGCTCATGAGATATTAACTAACGAAAGCAGAGAACCTGGATTTAATGATCTACTAGGACCTTTGGTTAAGAATGCTGAAATCTCATCTACTATGTTTGGAAATAAATCTAAATCCAGAAATGTTAATGACAGGCAAATTCAGAAACAAGCTAATGTTAGATCGAATACCATAAATACGAAAGCACTTAAATGCTTTATTTGCGGTGGTAACCACCAAGTATATACATGCAAAGAGTTAGCTAGAGCCAAGAGACTATGTTTTAGATGTTTGGTAGCTGACCATGTTAGTTCAAGATGTCCAAGAAGATGGACCTGCAAATGCTCATCGGAGAAACACCATAACCTGCTTCATCCACCAACCCCACCATCTGAAGCGACGAGAGTTAACTCTGGACTTGTTTCAAGTGGCAATAAGGTCTTCATGCGGATCTGTAACAGCAAACAATGGAAGTCAGGTAAGCACTTTAGCATTGTTAGACCATGGCTCAGACACAAGCTTGTGTTCTGAAGACCTAAGGCGTAAACTGGAAACCCGAGGCGAGAGACTTAAGCACACGTCATCCACCATTAACGGTGACATAGAAAATGAAGGATGGAAGTTTGAACTCGCAGTCAAAGGTAAGTTTGAATGTCAAGAAATGAACATTGAATTTCTCACCGTACCTAAGATACCAGCCCCGATGGAAAGTTTCCCTACTGTAGAGGAACTAGGTAAGTGGCAACACTTGAAGTCTTTCCCTTGGGAGAACCCACAGTCAGTTCAGGTAGATTTGTTAATAGGAGCAGATTCTCCTCAAGCGTTCTGGGTATTAGATGAAAGAAAGGGTAAACCCAGAGATCCATACGGAGTAAAGACACCCCTTGGATGGTCTGTCATGGGACCCGGAGGACAAGGCTGTAGAAAGGGATACTTCAACAGAATTAATGTAACGAACCAAATGCTACTCGACGAAGTTCAGAAATCCTGGGCTATTGAGAACAGCGGACTTTCTGAAGAACAAGATTCTGTGCAGGACGTAAGGGCACGTAACCTTATTCAGTCGACGATTGGGAAGACGGACGACAACCATTATGAGATGGGGTTATTATGGAAACACGATGAACATCATCTGCCCAATAACAGAGTGACGGCTGAGTCCTGACTTGCTTCATTAAAGAGGAGACTCGTTGCTGACGAAAACCTAAATGGTAAGTATGTTTCTGTTATTGAGGGCTATATTGCAAATGGTTATGCCGAACCTGTCCAGGACAAAGGTGAACTGGGTAATGTATGGTATTTGCCACACCACCCTGTTGTACATACCACAAAGAAAAGGTCAGAGTCATATATGATTGTGCGGCGAAATATGCAGGAACATCTCTTAATGACATGTTGTTAAAGGGTCCAGACCTAGTGAATGACCTCCTCGGCGTTCTCCTTCGATTTAGGCTAGGCAAAATGGCCGTAGTTGCTGACATAAAATCCATGTTTCACCAGGTTAGAATGCGAGAATCCGAGGGATGTGCTCACATTTTTGTGGTGGGTAAACGGTGACATGCGTAAACCATACAGTGAATATCGAATGTTTGTGCATCTTTTCGGTGCAACTTCATCTCCATGTTGTGCAGGTAAAGCACTGAAACAGAGAGCTGATGATTGTGAATCATCCAACAGCGACGAGATAGGAAAACAAGCCATTGAAGTCATTAGAACTAGCTTCTATGTGGATGATTGCCTTGCCACAGCAAAGGACAACCAGACTGCCATTAGGTTGGTGAGTAGATTAACCAACATCTTACGTCAGAGTGGCTTCCAGCTTACAAAATGGCTAAGCAATGAACGAGAAGTTATTGACAGCGTACAAGAGACTGAGCGATCTCCATCTGTTTCACTTTCACTTGACGAACTGCATACAGAGCGGACTCTAGGTGTATGTTGGAACGCAGGTAAGGACAGCTTTACATTCCAACTAGCGACCAAAGAAAAACCAGCGACTCTAAGAGGATTGCTCTCAATTACCAGCTCGATCTTCGACCCTTTAGGTATGGCTGCTCCATATGTTTTATTAGCTAGATCCCTCCTTCAGGAGGTGTTTAGGAGAGGTGCGGATTGGGACGAGCCGTTGACCGACAGTGAAAGGGCGACCTGGAACAAATGGATGGAACGGACATCAATCAGATGCTCAACTGCATATATTCTGTGATGCGTCGGAGAAGGGTTACGCTGCTGTGGCCTATCTGCGCTTTGAGAATCAAGGTAAGAAACCTTCTGTAAAATTTGTTCTTGATAAAGCTAAGGTTACACCAATGAAACTTGTCACTATCCCTAGGTTAGAGCTAATGGCTGCAGTATTAGCTGCAACGCTCGATAGCACCATCAGAAGGGAAATTGCCTTCTCATTTAAGGAAACAGTCTATTGGAGCGACTCCATGATAGTCCTAAGCTATATCAGAAATGAAAGCTGTCGCTACAAAACCTTTGTAGCTAATAGAGTATCTAAGATACTAAGCGTCTCTAATAAACACCAATGGAGGCACGTACCAAGTGAAGAAAACCCCGCTGACGAAGGTTCCAGGGGAAAATACGAATTAGGTAAGTGGTTAACAGGCCCAGAATTCTTGCCAAAAGACGAATCAAACTGGCCCGTATCCAGATATATCGAAAATTATCAGGTAAGTCATGACCCAGAAATTAGAAAGTCGGTGGTAGTAAACCATGTAACGATAGGTGATGGTAGTCTTAAGGCGATGTTAACATCTAAGTACTCATCTTGGTCGAAGCTTGTACGTGTCCTTAGGTGGATCTTACGATTTGTAAAATCCCTCAGACTCAAGGTGAGACATCAACCCGTAGTAACAAGCAACCTGCTTGTGTCAGAACTGCAAGAAAGTGAGACAATGATTATTTCATGGAGACAAAGGCAGTCGTTCCCGAACTGGAAATCAGACGAGCGACTCAAGAATCTAAATCCAGCACTTATAGGTCAAGTAATTAGAGTAGGAGGTAGGCTTGATCGTGCTAGAATCGACTATGATGCACAACACCCAATTATATTGGCTAACGATAGTCAATTAGTCAAGTCACTAGTGTTGTATTACCACTTGAAGGTTGGACATAATGGATGGACAGCAACATTGAATGCTCTCCGAGAAAAGATTTTGGATCTTAAAAGGTAGATCAGTTGTTAAAGGCATCCTTAGAAACTGCGTTACTTGCAAAAGAATGAATGCAAGAAGGTGTGAACAGCAGATGGCATCTCTTCCTGTCGAACGCATCACTGCAGATAAACCACCTTTTACTTTCACCGGTGTTGATTATTTCGGTCCCATAGACGTCCAACAAGGTCGTTCTACTGTCAAACGATATGGATGTATTTTCACCTGTCTTGTTTCAAGGGCTGTCCACCTTGAGGTTGCTGATAGTCTAAGCACAGATTCTTTTATAAACGCTTACAGGCGATTCGTGGCCAGGCGTGGCGAACCGTCAAAAATGTTCAGTGATAACGGATCTAACTTCGTTGCAGGTGAAAAAGAGCTTAGAAAAGCCTTAACTGATATGAACCAAAGTGTCGTAGAAGAATTCCTTCATACCAAGGGTGTTGAGTGGCATTTTAACCCACCTGCAGCTAGCCACTTTGGCGGCGTTTGGGAACGCCTAATAAGATCGGTAAGAAAAATATTGTGTAATGTTCTTAAACAACAGGTGATTAACAATGATGTACTACTAACGGTTTTAGCCGAAGCAGAATCAATATTGAATTCTAGACCACTTACAGACTTATCACCAGAAGCTTATGACGATGAGCTATTGACACCCAATCACCTTCTACTAATGCGAAAGTCCCTGTTGCTCCTGTAGGTAGAATTGAAGCTTATGGCAAAAAGCGTTGGCTCCAGGTACAGTATTTAGCTTCGCTTTTTTGGGCCCGCTGGAAGAGGGAATATTTGCCCCTTCTTCAGAAACGGCACAAATGGACAACACCAAGACAAAACGTAGAGGTAAGTGACATTGTTCTTTTGGTAGATGAGACCCTTCCCAGAGGAAGATGGCCGATGGGAAAAGTCATGTCTGTCTATAGAAGCCAGGACGGAAGAGTACGCAGTGTCAATGTCAAGGTAGCAGGAGGTGTTCTAAGACGTCCAATTGCCAAGCTATGTATAATATACAGAGGATCCATTGCAAAGAAGCAGTAGTTGCCAATTTGTAATAAGAACATTGTTAGTTGTAGTTAAGTGTTTAATTTTATTGAATAAAGTTCTGAAATCCTGTGTTGTTTTTATGATTTCAGCGTGGGGAGTGTTAGATCTCTCCAGTGCTGCGCGCCCTCATCGTCCATTTTTTGCGCGCATTGTGAGGCGGAGCGAACTTTGAAAATTCGCGTCACTCGTAAGCATGTATCGGTCTAAGAAAGACGCATGAAACTTTGCTGGTAAAGTTACCAACGTGCGAGCGTAAATGCTTTACCTTTTTTACATGGCTTTCAGTAGCAGTCGATGACCGGTGAGTTACAATTATAATAAGTAGAATAAGATTATTTAATAATATTTTGTACTTAATATTTAATTATTGATTTAGTAAACATGCATTGATTTATGTCTTTAATGAAGTACAAATCTAGACGTATAATGTTGTAATCATGTAGGAGCTTGTAATTTAGTATCCATATGTTCTTGCTAATATTTGTGATCATTTATAGGCTACACATGATAATTTACCCTCTTTTGCCTATATGTACAGTATATGGATAGTAAATTGAGAGTATAATATAATTTTTAATTATAGTATAAGTATTTATCACGAATTATTTACTGTCTTCGATTTTGCCGCTAGCGTGGGGACGCTTAGCGAATCTTTTACTATGAATATTTATGTATCACGTGTGTAATATCCTATATGCCGATTGGCCAACTAGGTTTATGGCCTACTGTTATCTGAAGCCACTTCCTTTGGAGATTTTTTTGTTCTCCAGAGCTTTCTTTGTTTTCGGACAACAGATTGTATTAATTAATGATTGAAGTAATCTGTGACAATGTTTTGTATGATTCAGTAATCACAATTAAGATTTAGTACACGATCCTATGTATTTTATATTGTTATGTTTAAAGTAAATGACATATTATATTCATTTAACATTAATTATGTTACAGAACGGATAATGTTAACTAAGAAGATTAACATGAGTTTTTGAGGCTAAAGGCGGTCATATTCACGTAAGGTTATTTAATATACTGTATTTAATCGATTATTAAGATGAGACAGTTTATTGTACTGTATTGATATTATACATTGTCAGTTTTCTCATTATTGAACAGTTTTAATAATACATTTTGTAATTTACTGTGAAGGGTTTAAATGATCAGTTGTTTATTTGCAGTATTGCAATAATGTATTTACATAAGTGTAACTTCATGATTTTTATGATACTATCGATGATTCATTTTCTACTTGTTTACTTATTTTATTATCTATTTTTTATCTATATTTTTTATATTAATTATTCGTATTTGTACTTTTGTATTTAGTCACCGAACAATAGATCGGACCGTACAATAGATCGAACAACCGATTTGGTAGTCAAACAGACACAGTTGAAACAAATAAAGGTTGAGATTGCTTAACTGATGGTCGCATTGTTACCTTGTTCGAGTTTGTGTGAATGACCAAAGACGCCCTCTACACCCCAAACTGGCTCCGAGCCCAAGAGCAGTTACACATGCTAATTAGCAGAGTTTACTTATACAATACTGTACATGAAGCTTGACTCAAGCCAAAATGAATAGAGTTCTCAGTGATAAACTGTTTTATACCACACTTGTTTTAAATGTCTGGTTTTTTTTGTGATTTTGTTACTCATTCTTTTACTTGCTTCACTCCAGTCAAAATGGATATAGTCAAACACAATGCTAAACTGCTTTATACCACAATTGTTTTAATGTTTTTCTGTTGTGATGTTATTACTCATTCTTTAACATACTAGACTCTAGCCAAAATTGATATAGTCAGACAAAGTGCTGAAGTACCACAACTGTTTTTAACTGTTTTTTTTTTGTTGTGATATTGTTACTCATTTTTCAACATGCTTGACTCTAGCCAAAATGGATATAGTCGAACACAGTGCTAAAGTAGTTTATACTACAATTGTTTTTAAAGTTTTTTTGTGATTTTGTTACGCATTCTTCAACATGATTGACTAGCCGAATTGAATATATTTAAACACAGTGCACCACCATTGCTTTTAATGTTTTTTTTTTAATTTTTTTTATTGAATTTTATTTTTTGGGGTGATTTTGTTACTCATTCTTTAGCATACTCTAGCTAAAATGGATATAATGAACGCAGTGCTAAACTAGCGTATACCACCATTGTTTTTAATTTTTTTTTATTTTTTTTTTTTATTTTTTAAATTTATTTACTTTTTTTTTTTTTTGGTGATTTTGTTACTCATTCTTTAACATACTTACATACTTCACTCTAGCCAAAATGGATAGTTACAGTGCTAAACTGGTTTATAGGCCTACCACCATTGTTTTTAATGGGGTTTTTTGTGATTTCGTTGAATTTATTCTTTAACATGCTTTACTCTAGCCGAAATGAATATAGTCAATCACAGTGCTAAAGTAGTTTATTCCACAATTGTTTTTAATGTTTTTTTTTTTTTGTTTTTTTTGTTATTTTTTTTTTGGTGTGTGTGATTTCCTTACTCATTTAGCATGCTCGAATCAAATAGTCGCGTAGATCTCAGGGGCGGATCCAGAGATGTCCAAAAGGGGGCCGAAAGTTGGTCGATCGAGATAACACCACCGTAGGGGGTCCGGGGCATGCCAAAATCGGCCCAAAGTTGGAATAGATTAACTGTTACATTTTTAGGTAACACAACCGGTGTTAATAGATTAACTGTTAGTGCAAGAATCAAAATTTAAGCTTTTGTAAACAACATAATCCAAAACAACTACGTTATGCCATTATGGCCTATATTGAAAAACAAAATGTTAACTTTTCACAAATTCGGCCAAATATAGTTTGGCCGTGACTTTTAAAATTTTACGGCCAGGCGAAATTTTTACGGCCAGATTTGAGGAATCTGGTTGTCAAAAAGGTCAGCAACCCTGGCTGGTAGCAACCCAGTGGTGGCGCCAGAAGGGGGGTCTGGGGGACTCACTCCCTCACCCCCGTCGGGGAAGACAACAAATTTTGTCGGGGAACAAACAAATAAAAAAAATATTTACATGTAATATTCGTTTAGCCACCATATCGTTTGTGTTAACTTTTCATCACAACAACAATAATAATAATAATAATGATAATAATAATAATAATTCAATGAGACTAATTAAAAATAATTTGCGTTCTGTTATGACAAATGCTCATTGATTTAGATAGCCTCATGATGGTTGGAATACATCGTGATAGGTGAAGCAACCTCAACCATGACAACGTGGTTGATAGATTTCATGGAAAATTTCCAAAATATAGAATTTCACTTTCAAGAATGAGGATTTGAAAATAAATTAGATGGTTACATTGCATACCGGTACTCTTTGTTTCTTGCTTTGTTCAAAATGTTTTGATTTTGGAAGCTGATTTCAACATTAAAAGCATAGCCTACATGAAGTCATATTATAGTAACTCGATGCCTATCGCCATAATTCATCAAGTATCCGTGGCTCGAGGGGGCTTCGCCCCCTGCTTCCCCCCCCCCACCGGGGGCCCTAGGCGCTCCCCTTACTCCCAGGCGTCCCTCTTGTCCCCCAGCCAAGGGAGACTCGATTCGCTCCACTAGCCCCCTCCCCCCGTCGGGGCCTTTAGCCCCTCCGTCCTGCAGAAAACTCGAGCGTCACGACATTGCGAAGTGTCTGCTCTTGTTCCTCGTATCGAACTTGAATCGAGTCAATCCGAGATGGCCCGAGTGAAGTTTCATACAAATGTTTCGTACGGAAAAAAAAAACATCGCGTCCTGCAGATCCTGGCGCCACCACTATAGCTACTTCTCAGACCATTTCGGCCGCCTGCTGTTTTTGTTTTGTTATGCTAATAAACAGCATTATGTATGGTGCGTCAATAGGGTCATAACAGCTTACATCTTTACTCGCAGCTATTAAGTTCTATTTTTGTGTGGCCTCTTGATTATATTATTAACGTGGTGTTATGTACCAGCCCGAATGCTGCTAAATATTAA